CTTTACATTAGGAGATTACACAGGATTAGCAGAGCTTTGATCATCCAAAACAGTGCTGGCTCTTGCCCACTGCCCTGCATCTGCAAGGCAGACCAGCGTGTGTCTGCTCAGCCTGCATGTTAATTTGAGAACAAGGAAGTCTTTTCAAAACAGACACAACAGGAGGGAGCTCAAAGCACTGCCACACACACCCATGCACGTTGCGTGGGGGGCACTACGCTCCTGGTTGCTAAGCATTAGAAGAAGCAGGAATGTTTAACTCTATTAGGCATCTCTGAACAGTTCCAACTTGCCATAGGGGGAAAAAGCCTTGCTATTAAAAAGAGTTAGGAAACTCTTGTGCGCTGTTGGTGGGAAAGTAAAATGGTACAGCTACTGTGGAAAACAGTCCAGTGGTTCCTCAAAAGATTAAAAATAAAATTACCATATGATCCAGCAATTCTTTTTCTGGGCATATACCCAAAAGAATTGAAACCAGAGTCTTGAAAAGATATTTGTATGCCATATTCATAGCAGCATTATTCACAACAGCCTAAAGATGGAAGCAATTCAAGTATCCATTGACAGAGGAATGGATATACAAAATGTGGTATACACATACAAAGGAATATCACTCAGCCTCAAAAAGAAATGACGTTTTGACACATGCTACAGCATGAATGAACCTTAAGGACATCGTGCTAAGCAAAATAAGTCAGTCACAGAAAGACAAATACTGTATGATTCCTTATGTGAGGTACCTAGAGTAGTCAAATTTATAGAAATAATAAGTAGAATGGTAGTTACCAGGGGCTGGGGACAGGAAGCAACGGGAAGTTTAATGGGCATAGAGTTTCAGTTTTGCAAAATGAAAGAGTTCTGGAGGTTGCTGGCAGAACAACGATAATATACTTTACTGAACTGTACAATTAAAAATAGTTAAGATGGTAAATTTTATGTTATGTATATGTTATCACAGTTATTATATATATGTCCACATTTGTTAAAAAAAAGAGTCAGGTATGGGTATACCATAAAACAGAAAAGTACGAGACAATTCCTGAAAGTCTGCAGAGGAGTTGCTTTGTCCTGAGCCGTGTAAGTTTACCAGTAGGGAACTGAATTTGCACAAAAGGTAGAAGTGGTTCTGGGGAGCGACTCTGACCAAGGCTCGGTATATGTGACACAATCTTAGAAAGACTGTTTGCTTCTTAATAACATGAGTAAGAGTTTGGTATAAGATTCTTTCTACTCATTTCTGCCTAGCTGGAAATCAAGTTTACGATCTCTGCATGAATACTTTGAGATTAGCATTTACTGAGACTCCTCTAACAGAGGAATAACATAATTAGAAGATGTGATCCCGTTGGTTGCTTATCAACTCTTTAGGGATAAGAGATTTATTTTTCCAGTCATTTAAAGATTATCTATTGAAAGCCTACCATGTGCTTGGTTTGGTTCTATTGTGGTTCTTGGGATACAGCAGTGAACATAGCCCTTGTGAAGTTATAGTGTAGTGGAGGGAGGCAGATAAGAGACAAACGTGAAACACGATGTGTCGGGTGCAGGTAAGTGTCATGGAGGAAAGCGAAGTGCAGCACGAGAGGGACAGGGCACAGTGGCCAGGGAAGACTTTACTGACAGATGCCCAGAGGCTTAAAGAAAGTCAAATCTGACCATATGGACGTCTGGGGAAGAATGTTCCAGGAATTAGTGAAGAAGCCCACATGGCTGCAGCTCAGTGTGAGCAAGTCAGACAGTGGTAGAAAATGAGGTCCAAGAGGTCTGGGGGAGTCCAGTTCTTGTAAGGCCTTATAAGGATTTGCATTTTGGCTCTATTTGAGATGGGCAGCCATTGGCCAGTGTTGACCAAAGTGATGTAACCTGATTAGCCTAACAAAAGATTCATTCTTACTGTTTGTTGCCTTGAAGGTAAAGATGAGGGTATAAGGGCAAAAGCAGAGGTTAGGTTAGGAGACCATTGCAGTGATCCAGAAGAGAGCCCATGGGAACCTTAGCAGGGCTGCTGCTGATTGGACACTGGGGGTCAGGGAAAGTAGTCAGATGATTCCAAGACTTTGGCCTAAACATCTGCAAGGACATTGGTTTTTACTGAGATGAGGAAGGCTGCCGGAGGAGCAGGCTTGGGGTGAAGAGGGGTACTGCTGTGATGGACAATCAGGAGTCCAGTTTTGGCCAATTAAGTTTATCGTATACATATAAATAGTGGATGACTTAATGAAGTCTCATTCTAAGTACTCAGAATAATGGGCACTCGGGGCCGGCCCGTGGCTCACTCGGGAGAGTGCGGTGCTGATAACACCAAGGCCACGGGTTTGGATCCCATATAGGGATGGCCGGTTGCTCACTGGGTGAGCGTGGTGCTGACAACACCAAGCCAAGGGTTAAGATCCCCTTACCGGTCATCTT